TCAGGGAACCTTGCATTATGATCCTATTGATTGCGAGTGCTTGTTGGGATATTCTTTCCTATTGTCATGTGAACTTTTGGAGAGGTGGAACAACTAAAAGCATTTCCTAGGGAAACTGTCATGTCTTGAGCTTTTGAGAGTTAAGATTTGCGTAAAGGACAAGCTGCAAATAACTAAGGATCTGCTAATGCTTACCATAGCTTCGTCCAAGTGCAAGATCAAGGTCAAATAACTCTTGCATTGATTAGTGGCCTAACTCTAGTTCAAACATGAATCTGTGTCTAGTGTTTTATCTTTTGTCAGACTTTCCTCGTTCTCTTTGCCTTGATCTTATCATCTTTTGACCTCGACTTGTTTTGAATCGAATTCTCAACAATTTTTTGTTTTCGATTGATTCTCTTAGTTGAAGTCTTAACTAATCTTACCTGAAGTGACCAAAAACTTGCTTGCATTGTTCCATTTCTAACACTATTGTCACACGCAAACAAAGAAATACATTCCAGGTCACAGTTTCAGGTTTTGCTTCATTTTGTAACTGTTTTATAGTGCCTGTAATTATCGTTTTCCTGATTAAATGTCTCTTGCAGTTGAATTTGTTGTGGAGTCTTGTTCTACGTAACTCCCCTGGCCAAAAATTTTAAGTGTTTTCAAGTTTTTACATGTTTGCAGCTAAGATGAATTTAGTCTTCTGTGTGGTTTGTCTTCTCAGGACTTCCAAAATGTAAAATGGGAGGTTAATCTATCTGTCGAGGAGGTCCCTCCCAAGCTTCCTAAACAGGCTTTTAGCATCAATTATCCAAGGGATGGAATTCAAGAAAAGGGCTACCAATCTTTGTGTTGTATTTTACTTTGGTGCACGTACTGGATTTGGTAAGAATGATGTAAAATTCCAACTTGGCTCATTATTATAAGCGTCATGTAGCAAATGCGTTAAATCTCATCGGTACACATGTTCGGTAAGGTTACAGTGACCATTATGGTAGCAACATTGCTTTAGCATCCTATCTTGTTATCTTGTTTCTCTGGAAAAACTTCTAAATAAGATTACGACTTTTATTTCATTGGACCAATTTAAGTGATATATAAATCCATACTTTGCCTTATCTTTTGAACCAAGTATTAAGTGGCTACAATAGATTGCTTGCTTTTAAGGCTATCTAGCCAATGGATTTGGATTCACACATCATCGTCACTACTGTTGGTTGTTGGATAGTGTTGACTTGGAGTCAACTCTTATAATGGATCTTTAGCAGAGTTCTAACCAAACTGTAAAAATCCCATCAATCAGTTGGACGAAAAGCGATTTCCAGGAGGTGATTATTATTTTTCTTCCTTTAGTTTGCTGTGGAGGAAGGTGCTTCCATC